CTGTATAGGGAGAAGGGAGACTGATGCTCAGGGCAGTGAGCAGATGCCTTAGGTAGTTTCCTAGTAATGGATACAAGTCAAAACCCAGCACCTCAGCCTCTTTGATCTGACTTCCAAGTTCCATTTTATTTTAAACTGCGCCTTGTAGGACCACTGAGCGGGATTTAAAGAGGAGAATAATAGAAAATTATGCCAGCTAATGTAAGTAATCAAACAATTTTACTTCTCTGCTTTCGTTGGAGCTCAGTTTTTCCATTTGAAAATGAGAGGAGCTGGCCTCATACATCTCAAATACTGCATAAAGCCCTGGCTTCCAGCCCACACATTGCACTACCACACCCCAGGATCATGGGAGATGGCACACAGGAATCTGCACCCTTGATGCTCTTGAAGTAATTCTGACATTATGGCTCAGTTTCATAAATCATAGCCTAGAAGCTCTCAAAGGGAACAGTTATCCCTGCCTAGCTGTGGCTCTTTGGGACTGGCTGGCCATCTACCTAGCCAGGCTTGATTGCCCTGCTGCGCCCAGACCCTTCCTTAAACACTGCGCCCAACTGAAATCCCTGGAGAAAGCATTATTAAGATAAGGTAAATATGGTTCAGCAGATTGTTTTTCTTTCGAGCAAAAAAAAAGACAAGAAAAGAAAATTATAAAATCATTATGAAATTTGACATAGTAAACCAAACTTGTTTGATGATATCTTCTAAAGATCAAGCAGATTTTTGGGGACTACCTCTGACAACTCCAACCTGTAGATGTTAATTCCTTTACCCACTGTCTTAGCCATTTTTGCTGCTATAAGAGAATACCCTAGACTGGTAGTTATAAACAATAGAAGTGTTTTGAAGCTGGGAAGTCCAAGATCAAGGCTGTATCTGGGGAGAGCCTTCTTGCTCTGCCATACCATGGCAGAAGGTGAAAAGGCAAAAGAGTGAGCAAGAGAGGGCAGAGGAGGGCCAAACTCATCCTTTTATTAGGAACTCACTCCTGCAATAACAACACACTCCTGTGATAATGAAATTAATATATGACCTAATCATCTCTTAAAGGTCCCATCTTCACACTGTTGCATTTAGATATTCACAAGTTTTCACATGTGAACTTTGAGGAAACACTCAAACCATAGCATTCCACCCCTGGCCCTCCAAATTCATGCCCTTTCCACCATGCAAATGTAATCATTCCTCCCAATAGTCCTAACAGTCTTCACTCGTTCCAGCATCAACTCAAGAAGCCGAAGCCAGAGTCTCATCTAAATCAGATATGAGTGATACTCAAGATACAAATTCCCTCCAGCTGGTGAGCCTGTAAATCAAATAGTTATCTACTTCCAAAATACAATGATGGGACAGGCACAAGGTATATATATCCCATTCCAAGGAAGAAATAGGTAAGTAAAAGGGAGGGAATAACTGTTTCCAAGTAAGTCCAAAATCCAATAGGGAAAACATTAAATCTTAAATTTCCAGAATAATCTCCTTGACTTCATGTCACACCTTCTGGACACACCGGGCTAGGGTTTGGTCCCCAAAGTCTCAGTAGCCCCACCCCCTATGGCTTTGCTGGGCCAGTCCACCCAGCAGCTCTCATGGGTTTGAGTCTCGGGACTGCAGCTCTCCAGGCTGGAGTTACACACTATACAGTCTACCGTTGTGGGTCAGAGGCAGCCCTGCTCCCATAGCTCCACTAGGCACTCTTTGTGGTGGTCTGCTCACAATGACTCCACTAGGCATTGCCTGGTGAGGCCTTTCTGTGGCAGCCTGTCCCATGGCGAGTCTCTGCCTGGCCCATTTCAATACATCTTTTGAAATCTAGGTGGAGGCGCATGGCCCCACAGCTCATGTATTCTCACATCTGCAAAGCCGCACACTTGAATGCCACCAAGGTTTACCGCTTGCTACCTCCAGAGTGGTGGCTTGACCCTCACTGGGGCCCACTTGAGCCACAGCTGATGGAGGCCAAGAAACACTGCACTAGAATGAATGCTAGAGAGAAAGAGTCCTGAATGTCTCTGGGCAGTGAATGCTGAGTTTATGTGAGCACCTCTCTTAACATGTTGCCCCTCAAGTTCTGAGCTTGCCCTAAGATCTCTGAAATGCCTTTCAGGGTCGTTTCTCTCTTTGTCCTGATTAATAGCACTTGGCTTCTTCTATCTGCACTAATCTCTTTAGCAAATGGTTTCTTGGTCACACCTTTGGTTATTCTTTTAAAGATGCTTTTTCACTCTTTACATGGGCCAGCTGCAAATTTCCAAATCTTCCACTCTGCTTCCCTTTTTTAATTAAAATTTCATCCTTAAATCATTCATTTCCTCTCACATCTTACATAAGCAGTTAAAAGTAGCCATGGCTCCTTCAATATTTTGCTTAGAATTTCTTCTACCTCGTATCCTAGATCATCACTCTTAAATTCCACTACAATAAAGCCTAGGACATGGACACAATCAGCCAGATTCATTTGCCAATTTATTGCCAGAATGAACTTTACTCCAATTTCAATAACATATTCTTAATTCAAACTGAGACCTCAACAGAATGGCCTTTATTGTACATATTTCTCCCAATTTCTTAATTACAACACTTAAGTATCTCTAGGAAATTTAGGTCTCCCTACAGTCTTATCTTCTTCTTGACTCTCACCAGAATTGCCCTCAACACGCATTCATGCAATCTAGGCTTTTTCTAGCCTGCTCCTCCAATTCTTCCAGTCTCCACCCATTACCCAGTTCTAAAGCCCTTCCACATTTTCAGGTATTGGTTATCGGTACAAACCTTACTTCTCTAGTACCAAAATCTGTATTATTCAGGGTTCTCCAAAGAGACGAACAATAGGAGATAGATAGCATGGCACACAGATAAGAGGAGATTTATTAGCGGATTGGCTCGTGCATTATGGGTGGCTAAGGAGTCCATGATAGCTAGTCCACAAACTGGAAATCCTTTGATGTGGTAGGTATGGCTCAATCTGAGTAATCTGAGTACAAAAAGCCTTAGAACCAGGGAAGCTGATGGCCTCAGTCGGAGGCTGAAGGCCTGAGAACTGGAAGAGGAGGCATTGGTGTAAGTCTAGATTTCCAAAGGCTGGAAAGCTTCTTTGCATTACCTGATGTTCTGATGTCCAGGGAAGGGAAGAGTGTCCAGCTCAGGGAGAAGAGAAAAGGAAATCATTTTTCTGCCTTTTGTTTGTTTTGTTTTGTTTTTGTTCTATCCGGGCTCCAGCTGTTTGGATGGTACCTGCCCACATTGGAGGGCAGATCTTCCCACTCAGTCCACCAATTTCCATGCCAATCTTCCTTGGAGACACCCTTACAGGAGACATCCAGAACTGATAGTTTACAAGTTCCCTAGGCATTTATAAGTCATTTAAGTTGACACCTAAAATTAACCATCACACCCATTTTCTTTATATTTGTTGGAAGCACAAGACAAAAATCACAGCACTTGAATTCAAATCAAACTACTAGATTATTTAGTATTTACAACCTATTCAACGAAAAGATTGTAAGCAACTGTAAGCTAGCAAGTAACTGAAGTCAGTTAAACATTTTTATTTTTTTTTTTACTTTTATAATTTTATTGACTTTTTTCTCTTCATAACTTCAAAATAAAAACAGCACATGAAAACCAGTGTATTATCCCAACATCTCAACATAGTTGATTGCCTCAGAAAAGCTGCAACATCATCTTACTCCTCTGAATAAACACTGTAAATACTCCAACTACATAGCAAGTTCAAGTTTCTGCCCATACCAACACATAGCCAATAATCAAACCCTTGCTGCCACCTTTAGGGGCTCTGGGTCTCCACCTGTCTTATCTCTCAGCTGCTCTTCTGGTGCTAAGACTGGGTCTTCCTGATGGGTCTATTTCAGGGTTGGTCAAGGCTGGAGCTGGAGGAGGAGAGCACAGTCTGGATCCACAGTCACCTCCCTCTGGCCACCAGTTGGCCAGCCAGTAAATCATTTCCACACAGTCTTTGTCTCACTGTTTGTCTCCTCCCTTCCTAAGCTTATTTCTATCAATTTCACATAACAGTGGATTCAGTGTCCATTAAACTACGGAGAAGTGGTTTGAGTTTTAACCTGACATATTTTCCTGAGCTAAAAAAGAAAACAAGTACCTCTATGGCCTTCCTGCCATTAAGATCAAGTAAAAAGGGAAAAGCACTACTGAGAAGGGCAGCATTAGAAAAGCAGTACACTCTCCTCCTCACCTCCATGAAGGCTGCCCTAGCTCTAACTCTTGAGGTACAACAAGGCAGTACAACAAGGAGGTATAATGGGAGAAATTTTATTTTCCCCTTTTGAACTTTCCTGCTGTCCCCTCTTTGCCTTCTTCTTAGCGGATCCCTTGGGTTCTGGCTCCTTGCGCTTAGCCGAAGACAGCGAGCCAGTCACCTTGAAGAAATCATCCAGGCGCCCCTGGGTGCTGCCTTGGCGGCTCTTGCTCAGTCGCTTGACCCCACTGCGGATTCGCTCCTCAGAGAACTGCTTTTCACCACACATGAACTTGACCAGCTCTTCTTCATTCGGCTCGCTCCACTTCAGCTCCACAGATTCTGGGTCTAGCACTTCGGGTTCCAGGAAGAGCGCTGGGCTTCCTTGTGGAGCCAATTTTCCGGCACGGGGTACTTGTTGGGTCGAGGCCGCTCACAATCTCCTCGATGCTCTTGTGCTTCTAGATGAGGTCCACAGCCCGCTTGGGCCGATGCCCCGGATACTCTCACAGTAGTCACTACCCAGCAGGATGCACAGATCCACAAACTGCTCCTGGTTCAGGCCCAGCTGCTGCAGAATCCGGCTCAAGTGGAATTCCTGGATGGGCAGCTTCTTGGCCTCACTGGCAGTCAGGTGTCGCATCAGCACAGGGCTGCCGAAGGTGAGGCAGTCCATGTCCTCGGGTGGCCGCAGCGTAGACTTTGCCGGCCTTCACCAGGGCAGCACAGCTGGCTCTGCCTCACTGGGCGCGTCGAGGTAGGGATGCTCATGAGGCTCAGTAGATGTTTGCACTCATCTTGTTGCTGCTTGGTGACCTTCACCAGACGCTTGGTGAATTTTTCCACCTCCTCCTCGGCCCCAGAAGCCTGAGCCTGCTGCAGCTGCTTCTCTGCCTCAGCCCTCCGCTCACTGCATTTGGCCAGCTCGCCTGACTTGAGCTGTGGTGGTTTGCCGTCAAAGACATACACGGGCTTGATGCCATTCTCATCATGGTATGGTGCGATAGAACATGCCCATCAGGTGGCTGGTGGTCTCACCCTCCTCATTCTGCAGCACATCCCGCCCTGGCGAACAGCAATCAAGACTGATAAGATGCCATGGAGGCATCAATGGCCACCTTGCGGCCAAAGTAGCTCTTGATGTCATTCTCCCGGATGGCACTGGGGGCCACATCAGCAATGAGTTTGGCCAGGCCTTGAATCCCCATGGCAATATAGAGAAGGGATGGCTGGCCTTTGGGACACAACGCTTTGGCAGCTTGAGCTTGGTCCAGTGTTGTCCAGGACACTCCTAAAGTCGGCTCCCTTCTCCGCTTGGTCGCGGGTCGGCTCTTGCTCCAGCGCCTTCCAAAGCCCCGCGCTCCCGTCACGTGACCCGCCCGCAGCGCACAGCCTCCCGGGGAGTGTAGTGCAGGCAGCGCTCCTCAGACAGCTGCTCTCATGGCAAACAGTCCCTCCAGGGAGAATAGACTCTCTCAGCGGCTCTGCCCCACCCTTCTCCACCGCTTGTCCCCACTCCACCCACAACAGAGCCCCGCGAGCCCCAGCTCCCGCTACACCCGCAATCATAGG